ACTGCAGAAGTAACATTTTGGAATAGTCTATAACTCTACAATAGTATCTTGGTGCTTGCACTAATCATCTTCTCTTTTCATTTAATCCATCCAGAAAAGTTATATAGTCACCACATAAAACAGAGATGCATCTCAGTCATAATATCTGAGGATTACTGCAGGCTGAGAAGCAGAGGTGTCCACAACAATTGTAAAAAAAATGTGGCTGTTCAATTGTAGGTCCTTTTGTATGGGCATCTTCCATGTGATACACATGGATGGACTTCAAGCACATGGTGGTGACTACCACCTTGACTTTTTGCAGTCTTCTTCACAGACACTGACAGACACATACAAAGAGAAGAGAATGTATAAGTGACATATCTCCAGTCAATACATTTCTGATATCACCAGAAACGCTTATTATATTCTTAACAATTAAGATATCTGCTAGGCATTCCATTTACTCTCACACATGCTGTACGTCCATCATATACTGTTATAACATTCAGCATTTTACCTTCAACTCCGTATTCATTCAACATTCCATAATTTTTAATATTTGTTAACAATAACGATTTTAGATGTTTATTGCTTTAGTTTTGTTGTACACCGCTCAGAGTCACTTGTTCATGAAATGAGCAGCTCTAGAAATTAGATAAATAAAACTCCCAGGCTTTTACTTGCCATATGCCATATTTTCTAACCTTCATACTTTTCTCTTGACCTGCTGAAAAGTAAAAATATGTTCCACAAACATTTTGTCTAGTGTAAAATTGCACTATATTTCTCAAATTTCCCTTTTTGATGTCTGGACTTCTTTCAGACAGAGTTGAGAAGATCTTTGAAGGAACTGTGATGGTCCATATCCATTCTAGTCCTCCTTGACCTCTCTCTGGCTTTAGATACTATTGATCATAATCTCCTTCTTGACAAACATAAGGGTCTGGGAGTGTTGGAGTCTGTGAATGTTACAGTGATTCTTCTGCCTCTGGATTCAGTTCCAATCAATGTTGTGAGAAGAGGACCCATAGGGGTTGCCTGTTTTCTGTTCTTATTTAACATCTACATGAGGTTGTTGGGTGAAGTCGTCCAATGGCACATATTTAGGTATCATCCATATACTGTTACTATATACATTTAAATACAATTGGTTGATGAGTGATATCATCAAGGTGCTTTCTCAGCATCTCATGGAAAGGACAGGCTCAGGCTCAGTTTGGAAAGGCTGAGTGAATATAGGTTTGGGAACCTCCAACAGCTGGTGCACAATTTTGGGGGGACAGGACTCTTGGTGCTAAGTTCCCATTTAAAGATTAGATCAGAGGTCCCCAACCATTTGGGCACCAGGGACCGGTTTCCTGGAGAGATTTTTTTTGCAGACTGGAGGGGGTGTGGCTTTATGTGTTGCCTGCATCCTCCAGATAGGGCTTCACTTGTTTGCATGGACCGGTTTCTAGCATGCCATGGAATGGTACCGGTCCATGGACTGGGGGTTGGGGACCCCTGAACTAGATAGTAGTCGTAGTTGGAGGGCCTTTGCATCAGTCCCGAGTACAATTCTTGGAAGACCCTACTTTGCATAGCTTGCTATTTTGTTCCTATTCTGTTCTCTGAAGCACAGTTTTAAAAATCTGAACTCCCTGCAGATGTCAAATGGCTTAATGCTCTCTTTTGAACTTTTGTTATATCTATTTATTCTTCAGATCATTCGCAAAGTTACTAAGCAATCGGTAATGCTGGATGTGGATGAACCAGTTTCCCAGTTGCATAAATGTGCATTCCAGTTTCATGGGAGTGATAGGATGTACCTCTGCCTCTCAACAGAGAAAGTAATCCAGTACCAGGTAATGGGGATGCAGTTGTCCTCCAGTAACCAACCTAGCTTGGAACTAAGTGTACTGCAGGTATCCACAAAGCTTGAAGTTGTTCAAGTTGTTTGAATATAAACAAGAATGTGCTTGCTTGTACTCAGAGGAAGAAATTCAATCAACAAATGAGAAGTGAAAGCAAAGATGAGCAAATAAGTCCTCCCCCCCCCCTCCAATCCTCTTTAACCTTCCAAGAATAAACAAATCTTTTGAGTTGGTAAAACTTCTGGGAGTGCACAGGTTCCATTTATAGTTTAGATCTCTAGAAACCTGGTGCTAGATATCTGTGAAATTTACCTCCTATCCATAGAGAGTAAAGAGAATGGCCATGATGAACATTGTCACTCTTCCCTTCATGTGTTCAATATATGCAGAAGACTATCTGAATAGACCACAGTGACAATGCTTTCCTTTTTCCCACAAAAATTGAGACTTGTCAGAAGGTAAAGTGCATGATCCTATATCAGTATATTAATTGGCCACAACTGGAGAATTACAGATGGCTATCTGTAGACTGAAATAATTGGCAAAATTGGCCCCAGAGTAGACTGAAATAATTGGCAAAATTTGACCAAGATTGGATGTGATTACAGTTTCCCATGGCCATAATCAAGATCACTTTATCAGCATAGAAATGGGGAAATTAATTAGACAGATCCAAAAAAAAAAATTCCCATGCTCTTTTTTTTTTGCAGGCTAGAAATACTGAAATGGAAAGTTGAAAGTATATGTGTAGTGTATAATTCCATTGTTTAACCATTCAAGCATTTCATTTAATTATTTCACTAACAACATTAATAGAAAGTGGCAAGTATCATATTGATCAGGTAAGACTTACTTCAGGCTTCCCCAATCTGCCTTTCACAATATCTAGACTACAGCTCCCAGGATTCCTGGCTAAAATGGAAATTCGGAGAACTGTATGGCCAGTGCAGACAGGAAAAGTCTCCTTGGTTTAGTATTTTTCAAACTTGGCAACTTAAGATATGTGAACTTTAACTCCCAGAATTCCCCATTGAGGATGCTGAAATCCACGGATCTTAAAGATGCCACGTTTGAAAAATACTTAGTTCAGTTCCTCAGCTGTAAATAGAAGGCTATGGGACTCTCTTCCCAATTAGGGCAGGCTGACTCCATCTCTATTGCATTTTAATCAAGACTTTGCTGGCTTCTAAATAATTTTAATATTGCTTTGGATTGTTTAAATAAATCTATCAACTGTATCTCTCTGCTTTGTATGGGTGATGACTTCGTAGAATAATTGCCTTTTGGTAGTCAGAAAAGTGGTTTATAAAAACAATTGATGAATATATTCAAAGTTGATGTTTATTGCTATGCAGGCATCTCCCTGTCCCAAAGAAATAAATCGAGAATTACTGAATGACAGTTCCTGTTGGACCATCATTGGGACAGAGGCTGTGGAATATTCATTCAGCCTCAATCCAACCAGCATCAAGAATCCAGTGGGCCCCGTCCCTCTTATAACGACCTTGGAGGTACATAGAGGGTTTTTTTCATGCTCTTTTGCCTTGCTGCTTTGTGCAAAAAATCAGGAGACAAAATGTTGGCTATTTCATCTTAATGACTCTAAAATGGAAGATTCATTTAGTCTTTCTTTCCCTGAAATAGCAATTGTGCAGAATATATTATAAGTATAATAATTAGTATATTATTAGTATTGTAAAGTCCCAGTCTCTTACTTGAACAGGGGTTGTTCCTCTGTCCTTGTTCTTTTGGACCTCTCAGCGGCTTTTGATACTGTGGACCACAGTATCATGCTGCGGCGGTTGGGTGGGTTGGGAGTGGGAGGCACCGTGATGCGGTGGTTCTCCTCCTTCCTCACCGACCGTACGCAGTCTGTATTGGCAGGGGGACAGAGGTCGACTCCAAGGCCCCTAACTTG